CTAATTCACGTTTACTGCCTTCTGATAAAGACAGTCTTTATGGAGATCGAAATGGATGGAGAAAGACAGCCAGGTTTCGTCTAACCGACAGCGGCCATCCATTACCTCCAACAGTATTTAGGCACTTTGTTTACCCTCATTTCCTTGTATAAGCTTAACAGTATGGTATCTTTGTACTTGCTGGAGGCTATGAGGGTGGGGACACATTTGTAGGTGGGGAATAAGAGCAGTTGTTAATTGTGATGCTTATACTCGGTAATGCTTTAGTAGGTTCCTTAATGTCATATCTAGTAGAGATAACTGCAATTTTGTGAGATGACAAGAAAAAATAACAGTTTTACTACATAGTATAAAATTAAAGTAATCTGCTTTGCAGAACAGAATGGAAATTGAAAGGCTGAATAAAAATTTGATGTCAGTGAGGCACTTGTTCACTCCTGACATAAACAAAAAGAAGCTCTAAGCAATGCAAATCCAATGTGAGGGCATTTTGCAGTTCCAAGACTGGAAAGTATCCCCAACTTGAGGAAAAACTGTTAAGGTATGTTGAAGAAACGTGCAATGATTGCTGTGCTGTAGCACATGATATGTTGCAATATGCTTGCAATATTGCTCTTCCACATTTGAATGTAGGACAGCCAGTCTGGGTGTCAGATATGTGAACATATGGAAAGGTGAAGGAGACTCACCATACTCCATGATCTTACATCANGCACATGATATGTTGCAATATGCTTGCAATATTGCTCTTCCACATTTGAATGTAGGACAGCCAGTCTGGGTGTCAGATATGTGAACATATGGAAAGGTGAAGGAGACTCACCATACTCCATGATCTTACATCATTGAAACCCCAAGTGGCACATTCCACAGGAACAGAATACATTTGTACCAATCATCTATTCCCCAGACATTCTCCCAGGAAGACAAACCACAGAATGTCGATGAAGAAAAATCGACTGGACCATCCAGCCAGAATACTTCTGAGAAAGAACCTCCCATGACAGAAAATAGGAGAGGATCTGAGAATAAGGAACTTTATGAACCAACACCAGAAATCACCAAAAATTCCTCACTGGGTGAAAAGGACCCTCCCAAAACCCATAGTGGCAGATCAGTATGAATCCCAAGACAGTATCTGGATTATAAGAAGTAAAAGAAAAAAGGGAGATGTAATATATGTTAATAAATTAAATTAATCAAACATAAAATTTTATGTATATGCACAGGAGGTGGCAACATGGGTCGAGCATATGGTGGCAGGAAAACAAGACCACCATGTTTGGAGCTCCTGGGAGCCAGTGAGATGTATCAGTGTTCAGTTATGTGTGAATAAAGAGTTGTTCGTGTTACCTGATCAGTATTACTGTATTACTGAGTCATTTATAATACATTTATTATGTTATATAACCATAAATTTCATCTAACTTTCACTGTTCTTGAAAATTAATAAGAAAGGAAACCAGATAAATCTTGTTGTTACTTTTTCAACCACCAGAAAATTCTCATGAGCACCACTGTTAAACATTAAATCATGCTTAATTTGAATTATAGGAATAAGCTAAACATAATGCTTATAATATTAGTTTTAATTTTTAAGCTTGTCTAATAAAATTGCAATTTTTCTCATAAGAAAGTTATTCTTTGTTATCTCTTTAGTACATTTCAGTTTCTTTAAAAATCCTATCATAAAATAATAAATCCAAGAATTTTGATCCTAGTTTTTATAGTAGTAGATATTTAAATTACAGCTTTAAAAATTGATAAAAATTTTTGCAAGTTATCTACTTGCATAATGAATTATACAGAACACAAAGAATAGATTTAGTTTTAATTATTGTATTAAAACAGGTGAAACCAAAACAGTTATCAATACTAATTTTATTTACTACTTTATCATCATTAATGATGGAAAATTTAGCCTTAAATCTAGAAACAGAAAATTCTTATTTTTACTTATTTTAAAATCTTTTACTCTATTGTTAGAAACTTTAAAGATTATAAATTTACAGTAGAGTGTTGTTTATCCGAATCAATTAGGGAATGAGGTTGTTCGGATAACCGATTATATATGAAAAAATATATTAACCTAGCCCATGTTGAAGTTTTTCTCCATTGCGTGTCACTTCGCATTGAATTTTCGTCGATATTAAGCCTAATGTAAACTTTTAAAAATAATAATCGTGGCTATTGTATCGTTAAAAATTATTTCTTTATTTTTTACAAACAAAATAAATATATTGACAAATACAAAAACAAAAAATATATATATAGTTTAGAAGTCGATCTAGTATCAAAAACGTTCGATTCAGCACGACACACAATCCTCAGAAAAATACCACACAAAAGTGCCAATGCTGCCAGCTAAAACACACACACCAACAAAAAAAGTATTGGAGTAGCCAAAGATTGCAGCACCACAGCACTAGTGAAAATTTAAATTTGCCGACTGGAATTCTTTCAGTTAACCGACGTTTTGGATAACCGGCTTTCGGATAAACGACGCTCTACTGTATATTGTATTCTATATAATGATTACAAAACAAAAACAGTCACTATAGTATTTGATTTTCTTTTTGTAATAAAGAAAATTATCTTAAACCTGAAAAATATTTTTAGATGTATAAAATATCAGAATTAGATGGAGTTAATAAACACACTCAAATAACCTTGAATAAATAGCAAAAATTTAATAACTAAAATGTTTTCTGTTGTTTTTAATGACCTTCTTCCAGTAGAATATGTAATAAAATGCCACAACAGTAGTTTGGATTAAAATATTCCAAAATACAAATTCAAATTTTTATCATCTGAACATATTCTACAGGAAGAAGGTCATTAAAAATGTCCAAAAACGTTTTAGTTATTATATTTTTGTGGTTTATTCAAGGTTATTTGAGAGTGTTTATTATCTTTGATTGTTTTAAATAAAGTTTCAAGAACTTTGGGCTAAGTTATCACATTAAGGATGGATTTTTTAGCAATTATAAATTTAGCAAATATATATAATAACTAATGTACCTTAATAATTATTATTATCAAAATTATTAGATTACTAATTTACAGTGGCATTCCATGTCATTTGATGATAGGGAAGCTATGTTTCTGTAAGAAGCTGACTTCCAGGGGCAATCAGTTAATTGTTTCCCATGATGGTCTAGGCCAGTGTTTCCCAACATGGGGCTCACGCCCCACAGGGGGGCAATTTGATAGTCAAGGGGGGCAATTTAAAAATGGACTCGACACGACTTTAACCCTTTCACTTTGGGTTATTTAAATGCAATGCTAGATATCGGTGACAAATTTAACAAAAAAAGGCAAATTCTTAAAAAAATGCTGTAAATAATTATTACCGTGTTTCCCCGAAAATAAGACAGTGTCTTATATTAATTTTTGCTCTTAAAGATGTGCTAGGTCTTATTTTCAGGGGATGTCTTATTTTTCCATGAAGAAGAATTCACATTTACTGTTGAACAAAAAATTCCCAAGTCTTACTTAAACGAGAGTGACGTATATCTGGTCGTGTCATACTGAACTTACGAAGTTCCCGTGCTGGAGTGGACTTTCCACTCTCGCTTCAACTTAACCTTTTCATAACGTCGACATTGGGCTCGATGACCAATTAGTGCTTATTGAACCGTAGCACTATGCAAATGTGATGGGGCGTGATTCCCGGCCAACCAATTAGCGATCACCAGCTGTAACGTTGTTCGCACCTAATTGGCCCAATTCAACTTCTGTAGTGTTTCACATCATTCAGTTGGTGTTAATTTGAAATAAGTGTCCGTCAATTAATCATTGATTTAACAAATATATTTATATTTATTTTAATTTTAGAAGCATTTAACTTTCCAGAAATTTTTGTCAAGTGAAAAAAAAATATCGGTAATGTATTATATACATTTAAATAAATATGTTTCTTTGCGTATATGTTTACTCTGTCATATTGAATTAATTTTAACACATTTTATTATATTGTTATTTAATTGATTTTTTTTTAGCCCATAATAAAATGAGTGGAACAAACAAGAAAAAAACTCGTCAATATTCAGAGGAATATTTAAAATTTGGGTTCATACCCGCTGTTCACGATGAGCGGATGCCGTGTTCTTTTTTATGCCAGCAATGCTTGACCAACGAATCAATGAAACGAGGTCGTCTTGAGGCACATTTGAAGGCAAAACATAGTGCTCATATAAATTCAGATTTGAGTTACTTTAAAACTTTATAGGAAAAGTTTGAAAAAAGAACAACATTACAGTCTCTATTTACTGCTTGTTCTTTAACAAATAATCGTCTTTCTGAGGCTAGTTATCAAATTTCTTTATTAATCGCTAAAACTGGAAAAAATCACACTATAGGAGAGAATTTGATAAAACCGTCAATATCAGCATTTCTTAAAACAGTTCTGGAAAAAGATGACAAAGATGTAAAAGCTATGCCACTCAGTAACAATACTGTTAGCAGAAGAATAGACGAAATGAGTGAAGATATTGAGAAACAACTTGTTGAAAAGCTGAAAACAAGAAATTTCTCAGTACAAATGGATGAATCAACTTTGAGAGACAGTGAGGCAGTATTGATAACCTATGTAAGATATATTGATAAAAGGCATTTTGCTGAAGAAATGTTGTTCTGTAAAAGATTAGAAAGCACCACTACCTCCAAAGATATATATAATAAGTTAAAAAACTACTTAGATGTCAATGATATACCAATGAAAAATATAACATCTTGTGCTGCAGATGGCACCCCTAATATGATGGGCAAGAAAAATGGCTGCTTAAAATTGATGAAAGATGCAAATCCAGAAATGATTATTGTACATTGTGTTATTCATAAGGAAAACTTGGTAGCTAAAAATATCTCGCCTGTTCTAAATGAAGTACTACATGCAGTAATAAAGTGTGTTAATGCTATTAAAACTAGTGCCAAATGTGAGCATCTTTTTAAGTTATTTTGTGAAGAACAAAATGAAGACCATGTGAGACTTTTACTTCATACTGAAGATGGCTATCCAAAGGAAACTGCTTGAAAAGATTTATGCAACTGTTTGATACTCTTAGTGATTTTTTTAAGTGACAAACCTGAAATGAAGTATCTGTTAACAATCGATGGTAAAGCATTTGTAAGTTATTTAGCCGATATCTCTGAAAAACTAAATATATTAAATAAGCAACTTCAAGGACCAAATAAAACACTTGTCGATGCAAAAGCAAAGATATTTGGTTTCATTACCAATATAGAGTTATATCAGAAACATATTAACAACAAAAACTTTGAACAGTTTCATTGGCTCCAAAAATGTGAAGTAACTGATACCGCTTTACTTGTTATTGTCAATCATTTGAATATTCTATCCGCTGATTTAAAAGAAAGATTTTCTGATTTAAAACAAATTGATTTCCCAACATGGATGATGCAGCCAATATTAGTGGATTTGTCTGATATATCAAATATGCAGTATCAAGAAGAACTCGCAGAATTGCAAAATGATGAATCAGTAAAAACTTTTTTATTTTTATTAATAAGTTATTTTTGTTTACCTAAGTGTAAAACCATATAAATATTTATCTACAGAAATTGAACTCTTCTTGCCTTTATGTTTGCAAAATCTGCTATCAATTTTCTTGTATCCAAGCTGTTTAAGATTTCACGTTCAATTGAAACTATAGCTAAATTATGTAGTCTTTGCTGGTGCATTGTTGATCTTAAATAGTTTTTTATAATTTTTAACTTTGAAAAGGAACTTTCACCAAATGCAACTGAAACTGGCAATGTAAGTAATATTCTTAGTGCTATTGCTGTGTTCAGAAATGTTGAAATTAAGTCATTAGTAAAAAAAATATTGTAATAGGGTTTGTGGATCATTAGACTGGTTTTCTGAAAAATGCAACTTTAAAGCATTAATTTCATTAAATAAATCAATACCATCAATGACTGTTTCACTACTTGAATCGTCTTTAAGCTTCAGATTTAAATCTTTACAATGTTTCATTAATTCATCATTGGAGTAATTAAATAAGTTATTGCTGAAAAAGCCAAATATGTCGATAAATGTTTTTAACTCTTCAAATCTATCCTTTAAAGAATTAATGTCTAATCTAGGATTCTAAAAAAACTCTACTTTGTATTTGATTTTGGGGTCTAGTAAAACTTCATCACTATGTTCATATTGAATTTGTGTTGGTTTTCTTCTTGGACAAATTGTGTTTATTGGTGGGAAATCTGTTTCTACGTTGAGTTCATGAGCCATATTGGTAGCTTCTTCTAACACCCTTTCAAAGTGTTCATCTGTGCAATATTCTGTGAACTTATCAATCAACTTATTTAACAAATTTATGCAGATTTGAGTATTTATTATAGGATAATTATTATTGCCTTATTGTCCTTATTTCAATTCTTATTATGGGACTTTGTATCATTTTGCTCAGAGCATTAATTTCATTTAAAATATCGGACCAAATTACAACTGAGCAAATAAATCTGTAATTTTGAATGTTCAAAGCAAGCAAATGAGCTTTGTGAGATGCAGCACAATCCCATTCTGACAAATTATCAGATATTTCCAGCAAAACATCAAATATTTTTTGAGATGATACCGTAATGGTTTGACTGCATCGATTCTGCTAGACCAGGGGTCAGATTTAGCGGCTCGCGAGCCGCATGTGGCTCTTTGCATAGACGTTTGTGGCTCTTTGGACATAAACTCCAATTTCACCTCACCTCATTTCACCGCAGCCTTATAACTTATGCCTTTATGAGATAGAGTCGTACGCTGTCCGCACATGACCACACTCGCGTTGATCAATATGTGTCGCATAAAAGTGGTAGCATTTGAAGCATATCTATATGTATAACACATTGAACGCGTGTCCGTCCATCCGTGTAACGTTATGCCAAAAACGTCCATTAAAGGTGCCCCTGTCGTGTGTCGTATTTCGCACATTTAAATTAATATGCGGCTCTCTGGTACTTTTGTTATCTTGTTTTCATGACAATTTGGCTCTTCTCACTTGACAAACTGCCGACCCCTGTGCTAGACAATCGCGTGGCAGTTAAAGCTTTTAATTTGAAATCTGGCAAATGTTTGCCAATTATCAACCATCTTTTTTGTAGACAACAAAAAAAAAATATAAATTTCTTGAATTATACTAAAAAACTTCACAGTTTTGTGCGTAATATTTGCAGCATCATTGACTACTAAATTGAGACTATGAGCCGAGCATGAAACGTAAGATGCGCGATTATTGATTTCCAAAATTTTTTTTTGCAATCCATTGTGTTTTTCACGCATATTAGAACCATTATCGTAACATTGACTGTGTAAGTTTTGAATGTTGAGATTTAATTGTGAAAATAAATCCAAAACAAAATTTAATAGACCTTCACCTGTTGAGCTGGTGATCAGACAGAAACCAACAAAATTTTCACATATTGCAACATTTTTAGTTTCATTGTTTAAAAGAACATGCCTGAGTACAACTGTAATTTGTTCTGTATGACTTGCATCTGGTGTGCAATCTAATATGATGGAAAAATATTTTGATTCTCTGACTTTGTCTAGTATATAATTTTTTATGATTGTGCCGAGTAAATCAATGATTTCATTCTGAATTTGATCTCCTAAATAGTGAGTCATATGACTTGAATCAGATTTCAAGAATTGAATTCTGTGAGTATGTTCCTGCATGACTGAATCAAAGGATGCTATCATTTTGATTGCTTTTAGAAAATTACCATTATCATGCTCATATATTGTTTTTGACAAGCCCTGAAAAGCCAGACATTGATGAGATATAAACTTGATAACGGATATGATTCTTTCTAATACATCATACCATTGTTTTTTTTCTAATTCTAATAGTCTTAGTTGCATTTGATTTACAGTAGTTTTATTTTTTAACATATTATTCAATTGTACCCATGATTTCACATTTCACAGTGGGAAATGCTTGTTTCATGTCTTTTCAATGTTAATGATAAATGCTGTCAATCAGAAAAACTGTTCAAAGCAGACAAACTACTTACAGTTTTACCAAATATTTTACAACAAAAACAATAGACTGAATCTTTTGAAATAGAGTAAATAAGCCATTCTCTGTTAATTTTTTCTCCATTGAGAAGATTTCTAGAATAATAGTCTGCAAATTTTCTTCCAGTATCATTAGTGGGAAAATTGTAGTTAAACACCTGTATGAGACCATGACTAACCAAAATATTAACAAGATCATTAGTCATACTGGCAGGCCACAAACCAGGATCATTACTACAATTTAAACTGCTACATATCAATGACGACAATAAATTGCTTACAGGTTCTTCAGTAGTACCTTCTCTTGTTCTAGTTTTTCTGGAGTCTCCTTCTGAAGAAGGACTACAACATACAAATTTTTCTTCAGATACCTCCACAGCTTCTGGATTTAACACTGTGCTTGTTGAAGCTATGTAAATATTTTCTTGACATTCCATTTCCTTATTTTCTGGCTTGCTTAAAAATTTTATTATAGAACCCGCCAGTTTTTCTTTCTGTACCTCCTTTTCTCGTTTTTGCTGTTGAAATTGCGCTCTTGAAAGTATTTTCCTTTTCTGCGGTTCCTGAAATTTTTCGTAAACTGTAAGTATTTTAAAATATTTATAATACAATAATATGCAAACATAACCAATTTTAAAGGAGAACTATCAGGAATAAGTAGGCTTTTCTAGTTTACGAGTAATTATTGTGATGTTCTGGCCCCTTTTTCTTTTTTGTTGTATCGATCTCTTCCTAACCCTAACAAACAAACAAACAAAAAAATAAAAGTATAGTATACAATCAACAATCAAAACTCTTATTTTGATGATATGAAACCGTGCTTTACAATTTGTTTATGCTTCTAACACAATAAAGTGCTATAAATTAAGATACTTGGCGGGTTTTCTCATCTTTATTTAGTTGAGTATCAACTAAATAAAGATGAGAAAACCCACCAAGTGTCTTAATTTATAGCACTTTATTGTGTTAGAAGCATGATCAAAACTCTCTCTTCGGGTTAAATGTCACAGCCTAGACCAATAAAAAACCGTAATGTGATCAATGATAAAGTCAACAAGGTGAACACTGACGTTTGAAGGAAATTAATAAGCAGTGCTTCACACCCCTTCTTTAGCTGAAAGTGGCACATGTCTGTGGACACCTGCACAATAGCCAAAACAACCTAGTAATGAGTTACCTCGCTCGTTGACCAACACGATATTTAATATAAACAATCTAGAGACTGTTGTCAAATCTAGGAAGATATTGTCAACTATACAATAATTAATGGGAGAGAACTGTCAAATTCATCAGAATTTATATTGCAAAAGGTCATCTTCAAGGAACTAATGTCAACAATCCTGCCCAAACAATACATCGGCAATGTTCCATGCTGGCTGGATTTCGATCCGGCACTGCTAACAGGTGTCCATATAAATCGTCAACTATGACAGTTATCTCCCTCCTCAAAAAAAATAAAAAAAATGTAAAAAAAGGACTAGCACTTGATTGTCAGGGGCATCCAAACAACAGACAGCGGTTGGTCAACATCATTAACTCTGTCCACTCTATGCAATGCAGATGACGATGAATAGCGAGGTAAATCTATCCTTATTTGCGTAAAATCTCTCTCTCTCTCTCTCCCTTCCCCTCCCTCAATTGACTGAGAGTTAGTTAGATTAATTCAGAAGATAAAAAGAGATTAGATCCCTTAGATGTCGTGAATGCCGACATCACCTTTCTAATGGCCTATCTTTGTATTTCTCTTTTGAGCTATAATATGTAACCATTTAGTTAATGTTCTTATTAAACTATTTGATAATTTAAGTGAGAGTGGTTACTCATACATCACCAACACTTTATCGACTTATCCACAATATCCCCACTCGATTAAACCTTCCATCAACTGACCATGTGAACAGACCTCATTGTCCTGTTGTTCTGACAACAGGCAATGAGTTTAGGTGGTGGCACTTAAACCCTGATCCTCACATAATTGACCAACTTAACCATGTAGTTGAGTCTGTAAAAAGTTCATAGAAATTCCATATAAATGTACTGCAAAATTAACTTTGTATTTTTAAAATACATAGAGTTTTGGCTCAGATGTCTTGTAAGAATTTTTTATAGCCTGTACTGACTACAGAACCTTACCATGTGCGTGGTCAAAGTGATAGTGGGACATTATATTTGCTCTGTCTGTAACTTTTGATATTATTAAACTGATTCATTTTTGCACCGGAGATTAGTTACATGTAATTTAAGGCTTAGTTTAAAAAGTTAGAACATTTAGGCCGATGCTTTAGATATAGTTTAGGTAGGTATTTGCAAAAACCGCATGAAAAAGTGTGATTATAAAATTAAAGTTATTGTGATAAGCCGATAAATAAATGTAGGTATTTACCATAATTACGATTTTTTTACACTTTTATTTAGCACTGATAGATGATTCATTGAATTATAATCACACTAACCAAGTTAAAATATCATTAATTATACTTAGATGCATGTCAAAAGAATTATTAACAAAATAATTGCAATTTGATATGCGATAGAACTGTTTGAATGTGTACAAGTACAAATTGAGAAGGAAGCTCTTTGGGGATTCCCTAATTTCGCCAGTCCTGTCAACTTCTGTCATAGAGCACAACTATGGGTACTTGGCTTTCAGGCACCACCGGATAGTTCAACCTGCCGACAGACGTTTTGCATTGCATCTTAGTTCTGATGAATGCCAATAGATGGCACTGTTAACGCTATAATATAAATAAGAATATAATAATTGCGCACCGGTCAGATTTTTTTCTCTGTGCAAAGATATTTCTTATGCTATAGGCAGGGTGGGTATTATGATAATGACTTTGAATATTACGTAACCAATCACTCGATTTGCCGCTCACATGCGGTGCACGCCTTAACGGTTACTCAACAGTTAAAACTACAGTGTAAAACTTTCAATTCCTTACTGGCCATACATAGGGAAAATGCTAATAATATTTCCACTCTTTCCATAATAGATGTTAGCTACTTTATGTTAGCAGCAGCATACTTTACAACAGCTTTTGTGAATCAGATCTATGAGAAATCACTAAACTGTCATCGTTAACAATACTGCTAGTGTATGATATCATTCCTATCAATACAGGTAGCCCTCGGTTTACGCTGGCTCAATTTGCACCAATTCACAATAATGCCGCTGCTCAATTCGCCATTTTGTGGTGTAATTATTTGATTTTTCCCTATGCTAGAGTGATATTCATTTCAGTGTTGATGTATTTACCAAGCCGTAACATTGTACATTCATTAAAACAAAAATTTTTATTGAATATATTTATTTTTTCTGTTTAATATTATTGGGTATGTATACATTTGTATTAAATTAATATTAAAATACTAAANGTTAAAACAAAAATTTTTATTGAATATATTTATTTTTTCTGTTTAATATTATTGGGTATGTATACATTTGTATTAAATTAATATTAAAATACTAAACATTTAGGTACCCACGAGTCAAAGTATTAAACTTAATAGTCCAATAAATGGCGTCTGAATCCATAGTGCCAATGAATGTATCCCGTATCAGTTAATTCAGGAAAATACCTTACGACACAGCAGCACTTCCGGTGATCATAAACTATCGTTAGTGAGACAAATCTACTTCTCGTTGGCCAGACGTTACTTTTTTATTAGCCAGACAATATATACTTCTTGTCAGTCAGACGATATCTATCTCTCCTTAGCCACCTTCAATTTTCCCGCTCAAACTGACCTTATATATGAGCTACAGTGACCGGTGGTCGACCAATCAATGTCTCCGCTCGTCTGTAGCTCTACGTCGGGTTAATGTATCCTTTCAACTATGGAAAGTTTGATGGACGAACTTTGTGAGTTAGACAATGATTGGGAACGAAGTGCAAATGTAAAAAGGGCAGCATTGCATCCATTCGACCATATTCCGAAATTCTTAATGAAAGAAAACAAAAATGTAAATAATTAAAGATGGATACTTTTTTAAAAAAATGTAAGAGATCCAAAACTAAAATTTTTTAATAAAAACATTTCACTTTATTTTATGATAAAATACATTTTAAAAATTAAATTTATATGTATTTTGTATTATATTGTATTAATAAACAAAATTATTTGCTTATTTTTCACTTATTTAGAACCTAACCCTATACCTCAGTGTAAATATGGGTTCATTTTACGCCAATTCGATTTGCACCAGCTTTTCTAGAAACAAAACTGCAGCATAAACCGAGGGCTACCTGTATATGGTTAAATTTTAAAACCTCAGACNTAAAACATAACCCTATACCTCACTGTAAATATGGGTTAATTTTACACTGATAAGATTTGCGCCAGCTTTTGTAGAAACGGAACTGCGGCATAAACCGAGGGCTACCTGTACTTTTGTGAATCCAACCTCAAGAAAGAAAAAAAAAAACTCTTAAAAAACCAACATTTTTTTTCAATTAATTCCATTAATGTATCTTTAAGTCATTTATCTTTTGTATTAATGCTAATGGTAAAATAATATTTTTACACAAGTTTTCCGGGTAAAGCTGGTATGGCACAAGAATACTCAAGATATTGAACTGTGCACAGTTTTTAAATGATCTCAAAAATTGTATGTCATACCTAAATATTTTTCATTTATTTCTATTTCATATTAAGTAATCAATAATTATAAAATTAAATAAATTACTTCAAATGTCAAATCTTTCAAAATTAGCACTATGATGTTTTAGAACGCAATTTTTAACTATAATTATTTTCATAACTATATGCCATGCTATTGTGACTCATTCATAGTTGCATTTCTAATATAAATGAATTTAAGATTTATTCTACCAGAAGATTTATTCCATTGTATATAATCAGAATATCTTATTCCATAATATATAAAAATTGGTGAAGTGATCTACAAATGTA